GGGTCGCTATGAGTCGGAAGCAACTCTATGGCACCTAACAACAGCGGCGTCCAGGATAAGGGAGGAGACGGTCCCGTGTTTCTCTGCTTGGGTCAGACCAACCTAGAGAGCAGTGTTGAGTTTGCGTGCGGCGCTTTTTGAAGTGACTCTGGCAAAGAAGAGGCTAGAGGAGAGCAACCAGGCAGTGGAAATGGCTGCTTTAGCTTGGAAATAAAAGCTTCAGGTGAGGCCTGATCAAGGTGTTCAAATTTCCATGGAATGGAGGAGGTGGAGGACACTTGCTGGCAGAGGCAGGTCCCCTGCTCTCCTGGCTCCTCTCTTCTATGCTGTCCTCACACCTGGTGCCTCTCTGTGGAGCAGAGATCACCCAGCAGGATTACGGACTTAGGCACTGTGTGACTCGGGATAACGTCTGTGCCCCTGCCCCATCAAGAGCAAGAATGTGTCTGTCCGGTCCCTGCCGTAATGCAGCTCCCGTCCTGGCTCACAGTGAGCATTCTCTAAGTGTTTACAGCATGAATGCATCAATGCAGGGCTAGGGGGCAGGATTGGAGCGGTCACCCCCAGGACCAGGGCAGCCCCTCCCACCACGGCCGCTGTTCGTCCTTGTTGGACAGGTGGGAAGGCGGGATTCAGAGGAGGAGGAATGGGCAGAGCTGCGGTACCAGGCTTCTGCACCTCCAGAACCTCCCGCTTCCAGGACCTCCTGCCATCTTCCCACACAGGGGAAAGGCCAGGCCAAGCCCGCATGCTGGTGGGGTGGGTGGGGTGGGGTGGGGGCCAGCGGCTAACAGCAAGGCTCTGGAGTCCGCCGGGCGTGTCCTTGCTGTATGAGCTCAGTAAGGGTCTGCCCGCTCTGGGCCTCCTCTGTCAGTGGGACCAGACCATCGCTCCCACCCCCACGTGGGTGTCACACAGGTCCTGGTCTGAGAGAAGCCACTGGAAGGCAGAGTGTGTGCGGGTGCAGCTGGGGTCTTTGGAGAAAGGGGCAGAGTGGGGCCTGGGGGCTGGGGAACATTTGTCACAGGAGGCAGCTGGCCCTGCCACTCTGGGCAGGGTGGGGTGGGGCTGGCCACAGAGGCAGCTGTGGGGCCAGCCAGGCCCAGCAGGGTGGGGCAGCCTGGTGGTGTCTGTGCTCCCCGGATAAGTCTAACGTGGACC